CAATTTGTAGCTTGATTTTGTAGAAAAAAGGCTGATGTCTGTGTAAGAAAAATGGACTTGCGGTTTTTTTTTTTTCCGTTCATTCTATCAATTTTACTCAATATTTTACAAATAATTTGTTAAATTTATAGGGTTTTGATTCCTTATAGTATTGTTTATCATTACATATATTCAATTTGATCTGATTTATTCAATTTGAGCTTGATTTTTGAGATTGAATGACTGATGTCTGTGAAAAACTGCGTTTTTTTTTTTCCACAATTCAATCAATTTTATTTAATTTTTTGATAATAATGTGTTAATATCATATGACTTTGATTCATTATAGTGTTGTTTATCAAAACATGTATGCAATTTGATGTAATTTATTTGATTTGAGGCGGATTTTTGAGTTGGAATGACTAATGTTAGGTGGGTCTATGAAGAATTGCGTTTTTTTTTTTTTTAATTCATGATCAATTTTTTTGAAAAATCATGATTTTTTAAAAAATTATGAATATCATGACCAGGTTTTGATTATCATTAGGAATTATACAATATTTTTGATTTTTAATTTTAAATTTTTAGTGCAAACAATTGCATGTTGATAGATTATTTATGCAAAAAAATCATGTTATCATATTTTTAATGCAAAACTGTATTGTTTAATTTGTTGTTAATGCAAAAAAATACATGTTGTTAAACTGTATTATATTTTTTATTGCAATTTTGCATTAAAAATGTATTTTTAATTTTTTAAATTTTTAAGGAAAAAAATACATGTTGTTAAACTGTATTATCATGAGGATTTAAAGTGAATATCATTGCAAAGAAATTGTGGCATGTATGATAATTATATTATCTAGCATTTTTAAATTTTATTATTAAATTTTTAATGCAAAAAATGTATATTGATACATAAATTGTATATATATTCTTGATAATTGAGTTGTAGCCATGTTTGGAGCTTGCATTTTTTATTATATTATCTTGCATATTTGTAATTGAGATGTACGACTATTTGTGATCATTTCAATTGAGTTGGGATTGTGCCCACTATATCATTGTAAATTTTATTTGTGGCATTGTGAATGACTATATCATTGTAAATATTTTTTGTGTCAAATATATGTGTAGTGTCATTATGGATTTGTGATAAGTCCATATGTATTAGCATTGTGAATTACTACACTATTGTAAATATATTTTTTATTGATACTATATCAATGTAAATTTTAGTTCTATATGTAGTGGTTAGATATAGGCTATTTTTATCTATAATGTTGCATA